TGGTTAATGCGTGGCTGAATTTCATCGCGCAATTCAGTTGGGTACGGCTCTCCTGTCTCAGCTAACCACTGTATAGTTTCTTCATGCAACCACAGGGTGGTTCTCCACAATGGGATGGTATTGTCATCATTGACCCAGAACAGTGGCTTAGGCGGTAGCAGCTCATGGGCCTCCACGATCAAAGGCAGCAGGAAAGCTAATCTCTTTTGCTCATGGAAAATCGCTGCTCCCTTCGGGTGAACCTTCAGGTGGGTCTGGTTCCACACAAAGGGTTGCACGACACGCATGGTATGAGCGACATTATTAAGGATGGATAATCGAATTTTGGTGTATGGTGGCGCAACACCGTAGGCTTGTCCATCCCAGGGTGGTTCAAGAAAACCCCACCGCTCTTTCCGGCTGTAGTTAACGGTCTCCCAAAAGTTGGGTTCAAACTCGTTCTCAAGGACATCAGCAAGAGTAGAAAAGATGAGCCATGGTACCTCGTCGATATACAATTGGTATTCCACCAGCGTGAAGTTATATGTTGTTTGGCAATCTCCTACCCATATTGTGCCCCTCACTGCAAGGAAGCGAACGTTGCTGGCATCTCGCATGTCCCAATTCATTCCAGCCGACATGTCCAGTAAGTGTTGATCGGAAACACGGATTGGGCCAGACGGAAAGGGATTTGGCTTCGGCATACCAGCAACAGGTACCCTGCAGTGGCAGCACTCTCCGGAGTGGAGGCTATTGCGCGGCGTATGGTTGGACCAAACGACAGGAACTACTCGCTATTGCGGGCAGCGGCCAAACAACGAGAACCCCGTGTTGGCTTGAATGTATGAACGGGCGAGCAAATGAAATAAAAATGGGGACAAGGAGGACCCAGGCAACTCTGGCTTATGCAGGTGCGGTGTCCTCGCAGTTTGAGCCAACGGCTGCTGACGGAGACAGTGAGTCATGTTCGGAGCAAGCATAAGTAAACAAAAAACAACCACTGCTGTGGTGGGAAGTGTATGCAACATGTTTCCGGTGACTGGGTTAGAGTGAGGTGCATTGTTGTTCAGTTGTAGAGGCATAAGACACAGAGGGGAGTAGCAAGGAGTGGAGCAAGTGGCAGGGGCAGCAAAGCATGACACAGGAGGGTGGCTATCGGGGCAAGATATGCTATAGACGGTAGACCCTGAGGAGCATTGTCAGCAAGGAGGACGCATTGTTGAGAGGATATATGACCGTCAGGATGTTTAAACCAGGGTGATAATCATGAGTGTGCGAACCATGTGAGATGAGTAACTTGTAGAGTGAAAGCAGAGCTGAACCCTCACCATTACCCAAGGTGCCCTTGGGAACAGTAGGGGGATGAGAGACACATGTGTCGTGTTCCTACTAGGCATGATGTGGGGGGCACAGTGGGGGGTGAGGGCATGAGGGACTACTTACGTAAATGATTTAAAGTACGTGAAGCAGTTTCAATCAGCTTTATCCCTTAATAAGGGGGATGTACCTACAATGTGACGCTTCACTTGTTCGAGGGGTTCAATGGCGGTTTCGAGGGAGTACGGAGTGCTGACTGCATTGACTGTTTCTTGGCGGCAGGTTGGCACTCAGTGCATCCAGGTCAAAAACTTCTATCTGTACATTGCTGCTCGGCACTTCATCGTATTAGTATACGCAGGATGCGTTGTTCCGTCGTGAGCATCGCTTGGTCACAACGGGTGATAAATCCACTTATCTCCAGGTGGGCGGTTCGTAATACTCCGCTTAGCACTTGCTCGTCAAACCCTATGTCGTCCAGGTCATCCATGGTTTCCTCCAACTGGTACTGCAATCTCGTGGCCAAAAGTTTAACACGATGGACGAAAAGGAGCTGCTGGAGTAAGGCACGAACATGGTCAGCAGTTGCGCTACGTGCTGCCCTGTGCATGGAGAAGGTCCGAATTGCCGCACAGCGCTGATGGACGTCCTGCTGCAGGCAGGGCAGTGGACAGGAAACACAGAGAGGGTAAGCTCTAGCCCAAATTCACGGACGCAATGACAAAAATCCACAAGTAATATGCACTTGGAGCACCTCCTAATGCAACATGCCAATAGTATGCTTTGGGGCCATAGTGGCTATTCGACTGTTCCCAGCGTCCTGCATACTGGGGGACCTAGATTGGGCTGCGGCAGTAGAGGGGCAATTGTTTAAGCCGTTGCTATACTGTAGTGGTATTTAGCGTCGTGCCATCAAACAGATATTACTTAAGGGCAGCCACTGACTAGATAGACACCCCTTTGGCTCAGAACCAGGGATAAGGGTACACTGATGGGGTATAATTACCTTACAATGGCGGACGGTTGCTAAGCATAGTGAGCGGCCCTAATCAGCTACATCCACTGGTAAGTTGGATATGTTTAGGCAGGGGGGATAATGGCTGGCATGGGAAGAATTTATTAACTGTACAGACAGAAACCAACAGCTACCATTCTCTGATTGTGGAAGCCCATGGAGTTAGTACTGCTCTGTTGTTTGGATTTTGGAACGTACTTCCATCAAGGTGCCCCGCTCGTATCCAGTAGACTGTTCCCTTAGTCCATGGGCCTTGGCAGAAACAAGCACTCCTGTAAGCGAGCTGTCTACTTAACGCACAATGGGATGCTCTAAGGGAGTGAACTTTCCATCTCACGCAGACTTTTGGTCCTTAGCAGTGTCCAGTAATTGAGGTCCTACATAGTCCCTCTAGGTTACAGGGAGATAAACTATTTTGCAGTCAATTTGTTGAGCTTTGCCACCAAAAAAGTAAACAAGCAATGATAAGTTAATAGCAAGATGCTGGCCGGAACTATGGCACCAGTAATTAGGAAGCACCAGCCAGTGCAGCAACTGCTTTCAGCATGTCTGAAGAGTTCATCAACCTCTGAAAAATTATTGAATAATCAAATGGCCACTCAGTATTTGCAAAGGGCTCGCAATCAAAACCATCCGAATGGATATGCCCGAAAAATGGTAAAAACATTGAGGCCATGCGGTAAAATACAATTTTCGGGTACAACAGAGGGTCTAGGAAGATAGCATCTTCCACGTCTTTCCTTCGGACAGATGGCGATTCCGATTCAAATGCGGCAACTGGAGATCTCACCGTGGCCACAGCTCCTTTCTGTGCCTTGTACCAATCCGAAGGGGCCTGAGTTCATCGATGCGCGGAAGTACTTCCATCAACATTTAAAATGGTCCTTGATCCTCGTTGAGAAATCTTGCGATGTCCTAAAAGGTGGCTTGTCCGAGAGGCTGGTCTGTGCAAGAACTTATTTGCCAGAAAATCTTGCCAGCTACCTGTCACTGATTGTTGAAGCCCATGGAGTTAGCGCTGTTCCGTTCTAATGGATTTTGGAGCTACGCTTGTAGCCCAAAAACCTGATCCTTAGGCCATGGGCCTGGGCAGACAAAAGCAAGCCCGTTCACGAGCTGCCTACTTGGCGCACATGAATGCGAGCTATCGCAAACCCATGCCTGGTGCCCTGGTTAAACTCCGTCCAGGACACCAGCGCTAGGACTTGCTGACCGAAGAGAGCTTCGCAGCTGCATGCCGCCGTCTGGCATATGGGGCAAGGCAAAGGCTGTTTCGGCGCGAATTAAGTACAGAACACTATGATGGCACCGGTTCGGAGCAGTGCACCGCTTATCAGAGTAGTTGTTAAAAATCTCGCCATTACCCAAGGTACCCTTGGGAACAGCAGCTGTCCTACACTGCTAGCCCTCTAAGCTCTATCAATCTCTGAGTATGAGGTGCCATGGGCGGCGAGAGCACTATCTACTTTAACTTGGCAGCACATAATGTCCTACCGGCTCTATCACACTGCACGAGGGAGGCGTCATCGTGGTACTTCTCTGTCTTGCGTCGGTGGTGCGTGGCCATTGATCTTCTGCGGTGTCGTGTGGAAAGTGATGTCCATCACCCGGGAGCAACCCTCATTCAATTAACGATTCTACGGAATTTCTTATAGCCGCATTGACGGGAGTTCTACAACTAGGCTGAGATAGTGCGCTGGTTGGTAAGGTGATAGTGAGAAACAACTCTAAGTATAGGCGTTTGCTCAGCATGGCGATGCTTCCAACACGGCAATAACTATCAGGAGCAAGGGTGTGTCATGTATATCGTTATAAAGGGCCCTCTTCAATGTGGTAAACTGGACGTATGACAAATGGGCAACAGTTATCCCTGGGAGCAACCTTTAATCATTTGGCCAGTTTTATGAAACATCCACCAATAGGGTTGGCTGCAAAGGTGGGAGATTAGGAGTTGAGCGCTTGGGTAGTGTGCTGATGGATACCATTATGGTTAGAGCAGAGGAGATATATCTTTCCCTGGGACGTGCGAGTCAGCAATAACTACCCAGCATTTGCTGGCATCTGACAGCGTGGACAGGGAAGTGTCATCCATTCGTTTTTACTATGATATGCTCCATTCGACAAAGGTAACAATTTGAGTGGCATGTAACGCTGCAGGGCAGTGTTGCTCCGCTTGAACTACTGCGCCTGACCAGTTGGTACGGCACCCGGATAGAAAGGCCTGAAACAAAAAATCCAAAACCTAAACAATAAGCTTATGACTGTGCAGTGGATTACAATGCGCGGGTACATCGGAGGGTCGGAGAATATGGCATGTTACCAGGCTTTCCTACGGACAGACAGATTAAATCAAACGCTTAGACGCCGCAGTTCAATACTTCCAAGTTACATAAACGAGGAAACAAATAAATAAAAATAAATCATGAACATGTGAGAAAACAGTGGAAACCCTCGGAGTGAAGAACGAACAGCTGCACCTTTTTTCTCGCAAACTGCAATGGGAGATTTCGAGTCATGCAAGCTCGCATCTGCTTTGCATGCATTTCCAACATCTGGAAAAAACCAGGCGTTACATCACGCCATCCATCCACCCGGGCAATCATCGCCCGCACACATCAGCTGCTATTGCTCCAGAAATGAGCCAGCTTTTCACCCCACAAGGAGACAGCTTTGTCACCATTGACAGTGCTTACATCCATTCCAGAGTGCTGCCAGTGGAGCTCGAGGCTGCAGGCTGCTGTTCCGCCGTAACAACTTCCGGTGCGGGATCTTCATCAAGATCAATCGGATCGGCCAATGGTCCATGGGGACGGGCCGTCCGGAAGCGCAACTTCATCCGGATGAGCATTTCCACGCTGCGTAGGAGGAGCATGGCATCAAGGAGGACAACATTGAATTCATTGTGTAATGATGTATCATATGCCTGGGTAAACCAGGTGTGAAAAGCCTCGAGCGCAGGGATGGCCTGGAAGATGCTGGTGTGGTGCTCATCAAAGGAGTCCAGCATCAAGTCGGTCAAGGGCCGATTGGCCGCAGGCAGAATCAAATGCAGAGCAGTCTCGGGTGGCTGCTCTGGCCACATCATGCGCTCAAGCAAGTACAGTGACTGACTTGCTTGGTGCCACAACTCATATATGGAGGAGAGATACTTTGGATGCCCACACACCTGCAAGATGTTGCGGCACGCGGTAATCATCTTGTCGAAGTTCGTGATGCGCTCTTCCTGCATGTTCTGGGCCATCGTCTCACTGGGGTGAGCCGGCTCTAAAAAGGCCAAACAAATGGATATGGCCGCGGTGAACCGCACGATCTCGTCCGGTGACATCGGAGTATGGACAGGTGCGGTATCGAACTGAGAAACGGCTTTGGGTGGGAAAAGGTATGACAGCAGACCTTGGGTGGGACAAAGCCAGCTTGAATGTGAACGGCACTTGAAGAAACAAATCACCAAATGAAGATTTGAAAACATCATGACCATTTTAACTCAACCTGGGCACAGCAAGATTTGAGTATACTTCAAGTGACAACTGCCGACGACAAAATATTGAAAGAATAAGTCACAGGTTGTTCGCAGGATCTCATCAGCTTTACTTATTTCCATAGAATGCTCGGACGAGCATAGGCAGTGGTTTTTTTTTTGAACTGCGGCTAAATTTCCTTAACAGCATGGGGAAATTTCACGCTATTGATTTAATGCCCTATCAACACGTTGACAGTTAGCTTAAATCAAACGCTTAGACGCCGCAGTTCAATACTTCCAAGTTACATAAACGAGGAAACAAATAAATAAAAATAAATCATGAACATGTGAGAAAACAGTGGAAACCCTCGGAGTGAAGAACGAACAGCTGCACCTTTTTTCTCGCAAACTGCAATGGGAGATTTCGAGTCATGCAAGCTCGCATCCGCTTTGCATGCATTTCCAACATCTGGAAAAAACCAGGCGTTACATCACGCCATCCATCCACCCGGGCAATCATCGCCCGCACACATCAGCTGCTATTGCTCCAGAAATGAGCCAGCTTTTCACCCCCATTTAACCGTCATGCAGTTTGCAAGCATTCACACATCGGCAGCTTTTTGACATGCAGTCACTCCGTCACTAAGGGTCTAATTTATTAAGGACCTTGGCAACAACTAGCTCCACAAGACTAGAGGGAGGGCCCATCAGCAATGTTGCTAGTTGAGGGGACTCTAGCATACCAAGCGTTGACTCCGGATGAGTCTTCCAAGCGAAGAAGCTCAGCAACTAATCCTGACCCAGGTGATGACCTCGCACGTCCGGATATGCTGACGTCACGAGTCGCATTGTTATCAATGAAGAAAACACATGGCCTATCCTTTAACTGCTTTTTCCAAACCGTAAAACACACAAGGAGTGCCAAAAGCTCTGCTTCAAAGATGACGGTGGACTTGCCTGGAAACCCCAAGGAAGCAATGGCTGAATCACTCAACTCCAGGGACAAAGCTGCAATCTGTTTTCCCCAGGGGTCTACCAGGACCCCTCCTATGCCACATTTCCAAGCTTCGCTTTCCGGGCTAAAGGAAGCGTCAGTGAATACGAACATTGGCATGTCCCAGGTGGCCGTGACTTCTCTGGGACGGGAAGTCATCAGGCTGTCTTTGAAAACCCTAAGGAAATGGGACAGGCACTCATCTATGTACGAGCCCTTTGCAGCAGAAGCATGGGAAGTTACAGCATTCAGGCAAAGTTTAGATGACCGGCCCCACAACTGCGAATGGGCGAACTGCATCCGTCCCCTCAGTGACAAGGCTTCAGCAACCGAGAGTTGTCCAGCCGCCAAGGTCTTGTCTATGGTGGCCACCAGCTCTTGCACCCGTTTTTCAGTATTGGCAAACCGGGCTCGCCCATCCTTCCACATGGTGAGGTCGATTTCAACTCCAAGTGCTTTGAAAACAGCTGAGAAGGGCAAGTCTTTTTCGCCTTCTGAAACCGCCCAACCGAGCAATCGGAAAAATTGTTTCACCACCAAGGAAACGGAATCACTCTCAAGCTCCCTGGCAAGGGTTATAAAGTCGTCGAAGAAGTTCGACCAAGTCAGCTTCAACATTTTACATCCTAGCCACCACAAGGAGTGAGCCGCACGCAAAAAGGCATAAACAGACCTGGAGGCACCGAATGGCAGGGCCCTCATTGAAAAGATTTTTGGCAAGCCGCTCGCAGGGTCGAAGACGGCAATGTAAGAAACCCATTTGGATGATGGGGCAACGCCCAGTTGCCTATAGGCCGCAGACAGGTCAACCGTCTTTCCCAACCATTGCTGGGAAGGCGATCTTTTAAGCAACTCCATGCACAAGGCAGCCGCCACATCCAAGGTATGTAGCTTTGCTGAGCTATCCACCTGCACTGTTGCATTAACACCTGAGGCGCTGAAATCGTCAATGAGGCGCACCTTCACTTTTTCACCGGAGGTCTGTTTGATACCGAACCTCCTGCTCATCACTGCTGTCTCAGGAAGTTCACTGGGCTCATAGGGGCCATCCAACCAACCGCACTCAAGTTCCTCCAATGTCTTTGCATAGACTTCGCTATCAATGTCTGCATCGCCTGAGGATCGGATGGAGGCCAACAATCCAACCCTTGCAGCTCTAGCTGAGGACGCTAGTTCCTCCTCCGTTATCTTTGCTGGTTTGAAGCATTGGTCGAAGAAGGGAACGTGAGGTGCTGTACCAGCAAGTTGGATTCCCTCGGTCACCTCATCATAGACACTGCTATCAGGATAACCGTAAAACTCCATCATCTCTTTCCAAAGCAGGAGGCGTTTCGGTTCAAGGATTTCCCTCACGGCCGTTGGAAGGCTTTCATGCAAGGATGACTCTTCACTAGGTAGGGCCTTTGCACGGTCTAACCAAAATCTCAAGGTGTCCAGCCTATACACTGCCGTGTCTCTCACAGAATGATTTGTTACAAAGTCCACAGCTTCTTGCAAAACACTTGGCAAGCGAGAGTCCTTTTTTACAGGGTGCCCAGCAACTACTGCAGCTTCGACGAACTGATCGCAGGACCTGAAAACACCAAAAGACAATCTCTTCATACCGGGCTGGGTCTTCCCCCCATTTAGCCGCAACGGAGGTTTTTTGAGCAGGCAGGCACCAGCGGGAATGCCGTTCCATGCTTCTTTGAGTTTTTCACCTGGGAGCACAGGTGGTGTAGAAGACTGGCAAACATCAAGATCTTCAAGATATGCAAATTCTGACACCAAGGGAGGCAGTTTACTAGACTTCGGTTGAACACCTGTAATTGCCCGCAAGTACTGGTAAGAGATATCATCAGGGGGTTGGAGCTCGGTCGAAGGCGGGAGCCAACCCAATTGCACAACATGTTGGGTTAAAAACAATGCAATATGAAACGCTAATTTCATGGGGTAGGCTGTTTCTTCTGCCGTCGAGAAGGTCTTAGAGTCAACTAGCCCCCAAGTACGGTGTTTGTGGGTGGCACTCAAACCAGGACAAATGAGATTCAGATTTTTTAGGGTTGTGGTATTATGAGCCAATGCCGTCCACTTTGGTCGCTGAGACCCGTAGGCACATGCCTGGTGAATGGTGAAGGTCAACAAGGGTACAAGAGGCCGAAAAAATGAGGTTCTCCAATAAATCGATGACCTGGGGTTTTCAATGCAAACGGTCAGGCCAGCATTGATGCAAAAGAGGCAAATTTCTGTGATAAATTTGTACAGGGCATTCGCCGCATTTACACGAACACGATTTACGCCAACCAGAGAGGGAAGGCCGTCTGGGAACTGATCTGATCGAAGAGGCATTGGTCCTGGAATGGTTTTTCCATGGGGAAGCCTTACTGGGATGCCTCTGGCTCGGCTGCAAGTACCGCAAGGCGGTGCAACGAAAATTCCTACACAATTTGGAGAGCGAATCCATTTCCAGCAAAGTGCCTGGCCTTCTTTTGAGGTCAAATCGGCGACAAGGAGGCGGCCAGCGTTCTTTTGGCGCTTATGGTCTACTCCAAAGGAAGCTTTGAGGCCGAGGTGCTGCAAACATGATGTGACCCTGGCGGACCCAGCACAAATCTCCAGGAAAAATGGGTCATTTTTGAGATGCAAATCTTGGCATGGCAAAGCTGTAGGCTTGGAAAACTGATTCAAATTAGAGGAGGCACTCGCTTCGGAGGGCACATGTAAATTGGCATGAACATCTGGTTCCATGATTCGGGATTTCTTTGGCAAAATTGCAGGCTCAGGCAGGGAACTGTTGATGCAAGATGAGCTGCGCTTAAGAGCCTTTGTTTCACTGCAGTGTGGTTCTGCTGTTTGTCAAGCTTTCTTGTGGTCGGCCATGCAATGGGTTCCATAACAAATTGCACACACATGCAAACCTTTTCGGCAACGACCTTCCGACACTGCTTCCTTGCACTTTTTCAACGAAAAATCAAAACAAATAGGTTCCCCTGTTGGCGTACTTGCAGTTCCTCCAGCATCGCGGATTTCACGGGGAATTCTTTGCTCAAATCGAGCCTTGCTCTTTCCCTTTCCCTTGGCGGAATATGGCCTGAAGCGGTTGCTTCCCTTTCTGTTTCCCTTCCCTGCGGGGCTGGGAACCGGCTTCTGGGCAGGTGGCACCGGTGTTGTCGGTGGGGTCGACTTGGCTGGCATCTTAGAGATCATTGGCAGCAACGTGAAACTCACTTCATATGACTTCAGTGACTCTTCAAGTTTTGAATCCAGAGCGGAGACACCTGCTGCGTCAGGGCGAGGCTTCGTGTTGACTTCGATGAGATGGGTCCATGCTGCACGGTCTGCTGCGAGCAACTGTGAGACACTGCATCGATTATACCCCGTGGGGGGTTCTCTGTTTAAATGGCTGAAGAGCAATTGCACATACCGATCGTGTCTGGAGAAAGACATGATGCCCGCAAAATCGAATGCCAGCCCACGCCTTTTCAGTGCTTCCAATGCTTGGTATGAGCTCTGCACTGGAGTCTCATGGTCATGTTCACGGTCTCGGATTATGATCTTGGAAGATTCCACCTCAGGCATTTTGGTTTGCAATTTGCTGGTGACGGACAGTTCAGTCAACCTGCTGAAGCATTTTTCCAAGGGCACATACTTGAGAACATTTTGGTCATACATTTGAGTTGCAAGGTCAAGCAACGAATGGCAAGGCTCTGAATGCCCTTCAATGAGCACACCTGTGAGGCGATTTCGAAGGTTTTCCATCCTTGCTTCGCGCTCTGCTTGGGGCACACGGCGTGCTGCTGCAGGGTCTGGATTTGTCACTTGCTCTTTCAAAAGGGCTAAAAGCTGCGTCTGACTTTCAAACAAGAGCCTCTTCAGTGCAGCGACTCCGCCTACTGTGGCGCTTGGGTCCAATTGCCTGACCCACCCAGCGAACTCATCATTGGAAATGGGCTGACCTGGTTGCCCATGAGCATAAGCTAATGTTGAAATTGTAGTAATGCCTGAGTTTCTCAAAGCAAGCTTCAATGCATCGGGCACCTTCACCTGATCAAGTCTCAAATCAAATTGGGCTTCCGAGTCGACAATTGAGGTCATGGCTACGGACGTTGGCACATGCAGCGTGGGGCTATCAAACAGAGTTGAACCATGTTTTGACCAAAACAATTCTTTTTGAACAGTGAACACAATGCACAAAGTAAGGTGAGGCATCATTGAAAGGCAAATTTTTTCAGGCGTATAAAAAATAACTTTCATGCAGGAAACATTGAATTCTTGAACCATTTGCACAAGCAGCGGTTTGCCGCAAACTCTCACTCAGAAAGAAATCCATGCAAACATGCAGGCATGTAGTGTTCAATATTGACACATCTGCGACTGCAACATGATGGGATGCACATACATCCACAGACGCGCAGCCTTATGTTTTTCTTGCACATGCGGTATCATCACCGTTGCTTTCCCAGGTTTTTGAGAAAGACACGCCAGCTACACCGCTGGAAGACGATCAACGTCTGTTGCAGGTTTTGCAAAGGACATTCCATGCTGTCGCTTCGGTGCAGGCGACATAGGCTGAAGTCAGCCTTTTTCCACAAACCAGATACTTCACATCATTGTGAGTGTCCCCATCGAATCTGTGAACCAAAGTGGATTTCGAATGGACAAACCATGCTTGCTCTTCTGGGATTTTCGCTCTAAACCTTTTGACTCTTGGAGTGGGCTCCAAGTCTTCTGAGTCACTGGAGGATGAACCCACTGATGAGTCTGAAGAGCTATCAGAAGCTGAGGCACTCGCCTTTTCAGTGCCATCTTCGGCCACCTCTGCATGGTCTCCAGCATGGCTGTCAGCATGAGGCAAGCCAGTTGGGCCTGCTTCTCCACCTGCACACTCATGAAGTTCACTGTAGGCACTATCAACCTCACCAGTGCTACCATCAACTGCATTGCAAGCATTCTTATCCGAAAAACCAGGCTCGACCGGGGTTGCAACATCGTCTGTGGCACGCTTGAAGAACTCCGATCTTTGACTGTCAGGCGTGAAGTTTCCCTCATGGATTGAATCAATGACAACTTGTAGTTCGGCCACAGGCGCACAAACCAAATCTCTCGAGTAGATTGCAAAAGTCTCATTCAGGCATGAAGTGTGACGTCCAAGCATCGAACGCGTGGCTGGTGAAATACCAAACCTTGCACACCATGACAATGTAGTCGCTTTGAGGCTATGGCTCGATACGACTGGCTCTTGGCAGCCAGGCACGGGATCTGGAGCCCCCACAAAACGCCTGAGCATGCTTGACACCTCGGTAGTCCTAAGTCCACGCATCATGAAGGATTTGCTCTCACCAGTTGGTGCCTTGAGCAAAGGTCCATCAATTGGCATTTCCATGCATGCACCAACCATTTCCAGCACCTTGAGAGCTTCCTCGACCCAAATGCTTCCATCAATCCCTCTTGCAGGCACGACAATTGGCATGAGCCTAGTTTTGAGGGCAGCCAACCTTCCAGTTTTGTGGTGACTCGTTTGTATGATGACGAACCCACCTGAGTCATTGTAATCCTTCTCAATGCTGTGGATCATCAAAAGATCGCTGTTGCGGCACCTGCCATAGAGTGCAAACAAGATGTATGCCACTATGGCCCTGTCCATCTCATGTAAACCTTTGTTGATCAACGCTGCATGGAGACCCTTAACCTGTGCTACAGTGAGGACCATTGCTTGCTTCAACAGTCGCTTTCCTGCAAGCATGATTTCACAGGTACCAATAAGGCGGCGACTGTTAAGCGCCTGGCCCAAAGATTCAATGCCCAAAATGTGGAAGGCAAACCGGAAGGCAGACATCGCTGAATCTCCTTTTGTGGCGGGAGCTCCAACATCCTTCAAGTGTTGCAAGTAATCCCAGATGAATGCTTCAGAGAAGGGGTTCCCAAATCCACTGCCAAGCTTTGAAAACCAACGTAAATAAGAAAGCAATGACTTGGCACGCTTCACAAGAGTTGCCGGCGATCTGATTCCTAGGACAGCCTCAATCACTGCATGGGCTCCCAACGCTTGCTGGTCTTCAGATCCCAGCTCAAGGATATGTCTGCCAGTAACACTTCCACTCAGGTCGTGCTTCAAAACTACAAGGAACTTGTTCAGGGCAACATTTCGCAAACTGGCTTGCTTTGCGGCATAAGATCCATCATCTTTACACTCCACAAATCTCGAAAAGATGGGGTTTGGATTTGAATCAGATGCAACACCTGCCAGAGTCTGAGCGACATGCTGAGGTTCGGGCGCAACACCAAAATCGCAAAAATCGCTCACAGGCATCTTTGGGACCAACTGCTCAAAAGGTTCATCACTGAAAAATTCCTTGTAAAATCCAGACTCCCAAGGCAACAAGATTTCAGTAACCCGACAATTAGTCAGCAACGCTCTTGAAAAGGTGGCATCCTGCACTGACTTTGAAACGACTGGCCCAACAGAGGCCACTGAGGTTTTCATGCCACTGGGAATCGAGCCAGCAGCGAAACCTGGCTCTGGCATTGACAGCGCTGTGGGTGCCATCGAAGCATCCATATCACCTGGAGGACAAGGCGGAGGTCCAAGGGGTCCAAAAACATGTGAATCTGTTGCGCCAACATTTGAAAAGCCAGTGTCATCACCAAAAAACTCAGTAGTATCGAAATCAAAGTTCTGCAAATCGACTCCGCGGGGATCAACATCGAAATCATCATGAGGTCCATGCAAAACATTGGTTAAAGGGTCTGAAAACTCATCAGCACCACGGGCAGCATGAGGCTCGGTCAGGTCTTCGGTTCCAGGAGTCAAACCAGGTTCCATAGTCCCCCAATTAACCGGAAAGTAGCCACAAAAAGCAACTGAGAAATCCGAGTCCAAAACTGCAAATGGTGTACAAATACTGCGGAGAAGAAAGCAGGGCACGACGACAAAAGCTCTGAGAATTGGTCCCCAGCACAATGGTTCCGGCTAAAGCGGTTCGCCCGCGATGAACAGCCCCCATCTATGATGGCCACAAAGCCAGCTTGAATGTGAACGGCACTTGAAGAAACAAATCACCAAATGAAGATTTGAAAACATCATGACAATTTTAACTCAACCTGGGCACAGCAAGATTTGAGTATACTTCAAGTGACATCTGCCGACGACAAAATATTGAAAGAATAAGTCACAGGTTGTTCGCAGGATCTCATCAGCTTTACTTATTTCCATAGAATGCTCGGACGAGCATAGGCAGTGGTTTTTTTTTTGAACTGCGGCTAAATTTCCTTAACAGCATGGGGAAATTTCACGCTATTGATTTAATGCCCTATCAACACGTTGACAGTTAGCAAACGAGATTCAAATACAGCAAGTGATTACTACTGTTTTTTGTGCTTTATATCAGTCCGAAGGGGCCTGAGCACCTCGATGCGGGTCGCTGTAACCTTCTCCATTACCCAAGGTACCCTTGGGAACAGAAAGGGTCTTATGGCAATTTCACGGGTGCCATTGAACAAAGATGCTTGATTGCGCATTCCCAGGACACCTCTAGTGACGGAACTGTCCCACAGGCTGAGAAGGAAGTGCGACATAAAAATTGTCCCACCGCTAGTCCATCCACTCAGGGCAAACTGTTTTGCACTCTGCTTCACGATGCCTGTGTTTGCTGAGGAGCTGGAGTGCAGAGAGAAACCGTAACTCTTTTTTTTTTCCCACCTTTTCCCCTGGGTGGGAAGTTGATTCCCTCTGGACACTCAGAAGTAAGCAAACAGGAGCTCAAAGCAGCGTGGAACTATACTGTGAGATACACCAGTAATCAAACTGTGAGGTGGACACGGCCGTGTTGAACAGTTAGTACAGCTTGGCAACCTAATAGCATCAGCAGGGTGATATTTAGGGTTAGCTGATGCTCAGTGAGCGGCTGAAACTGGGTCCTTTCTGGGGGACTACTTAATCACCTGGGAGTGCCATATAATTGGTGGGCAACAGAAGGTCGCCCACAATTTGGTGTCCTCCAGGTTAACGCTAGTGCGCATGGAACACTTTGAGCTAGCTCACTTAATTATGGAAAAGGCCTTCCATTATCCGAGGCGTGTGGTTAAGTGTTAAAATGTCCTCATGGGTCTTGTGCAAGTGGGGAGAGCTACCCAGGGTACCCCTGGGAGCCCACCCCACCTGACCTGACCAGCGTTCATGAGGCATAAGAGCTAAATTGGTGGGGGGTAGGTACAAATAAGGTAGTGAGCTGATGAAAGTTAATTGGCAGTCACAGGGGGTCTCAATCAGCAATAACTACGTTGCAGTGGCCTGGAACTGCCTAGGCAGTGGCAGGCCGTCTGTCTTGGGGTCGGGTCACCTTCCGCAAGATCACGTCAGCTTAGTGGGTTGCAGCTTTATGCTCATGGGTGACTATAATGGAGTAAATGCTGTGGCTCATTATTAGGGGTTGAATTAGTCCCGGATAGGTGAGCAACAGAGAACTGGTTGCTTTGTGGTCACCGAGGCAGCAACAAAGTCCGGGCAGACGTTTCAACTCACTCACGTCGGGCGTTCACGTCGAGCGCGCAATTTGGCAAGAGCTTCCAAGGGGGTGGTGCAAATGTGTGGCGATCCTTGAGCATTGCGCTGCTTACGTTGGCAATTGTGGGGTGTACGACGGGTGAGGGATAGGGCATGGCTACTGGCGGTATGCTTGAGGGTGTCTACGTATGCGTTGCGCGACGCTGCAAGGGAGGTGACTTTGAACCATGGCTGACCGAAGAAAAGCTGATGCTTGGACAGAACTTCTTTCTCGATTTGCCTTACCATTTGTTCAGGAGGCGGGGGAGCAACTAAAAACCCATCGTGGAGCCACACCAAGGATTGTGTTGGGTGTCGGGCAATGAGGGCGTGAATGGTGTCCTCGACAATTATGGCTTCAAAGTGCTCTAGCAATCTAAAAGCGCTATCATTATGGTTGACCAGGAACTCTGGGCGGAAACGCGGTAGCAACTGAGTAGTCAGGGTTGTACTCAAAGACCAGAGTTGGCGAAGAATTGCGCTCACACTAGCACTGGGGGAGTCATCAACAAGAGAGCTTAGATATCGGTATGTAGCATCAAGGGAGCTATTGATAATCCTCAGTGGGAGTTGCTTGATGGTGTCAGGGTAGATTGCTTCTACTTTTTGAATATAGGGGTCACGGGCTAGCTGCGCGCGAAACTCATCGATGGTTGGGAGGGGTACTAACTCTGGCGCAAAGAGTAATCCCAGGCGTCGGACAAGTTCATAAAAAGACCCTTTGAGGTCAATTTCGCAATGATTCCGTCCGAACAATAAAAGCCTGGCGGCTCTCGGTAGTCGCTGGCCTCCTATGGTGCAGCAATATCTTCGTCCATGGTTGTCGGCAGCTTTGGGGGAATAGTCAATTTCAATACTGCAGTTTTGCGGTAGACACGGGGAGAGATAGGATTCGATCAGCTGGCGGTGATGGGGGTGGAGGGTCACGTGTTTGCGGAGGAGACCGTGATCAATGCTAGGCCTCTCTACTAGGGTAAGTATCGGCTGGCTCCAGGGCTGTTCGAAACTTTGAATGTGAAAGCCTCCGACCTGAAAGAGGCCCGTGGGGAATGATGGTTTGATGGACACCGGCCCAGCATTCCGATTGAAGGCAGAGGGGTCGCTCCTATATTTAGCCAAAAGGAACTGAGAGGCTTGCCCTGCCAAGTCATCCGCTATGCCGCTATGCCGTTAGCAACTCGAGGCAGGTATATGAAGAGACTACAGGGGAGGTGCAGACTTACGGTCGCTCGAATGCTTTCCAATGGTTGGTGCATATCTAGTCTTCGGAGACGGCCTGCAAATTGGAAGTACTTAATGACAGGGAGAATATCACCTTGGATGACCACCTTGGGCGTGAGGCCGCGGCTCGATAAAAGCTGCTTAACGACAACAGAAATTTCTTCAACCAGATACAAACAGGCCATGATTTCTGCTTCAATATTATCTGAACAATGCGGCAGAGCAACTGACCGACATGCAATAACGCGAGACCGACCACCTTCTATTACATATATGACGTATCCAGCTCCTCCTAACATTTCTTCGCGCATACAACTGCCATCGAATTGCCCTACGATCTGTATGGAGGGTTCGGGTTGTGTATCATCAGGAGGGATCGCCAAGATCAACTCATCCGGACTTACGGATTGAAGAGCTGTGACTGTACAGAAGGAATCAGGCGAGTTGGGGCAGGCTGGTACAATCTTGGCATTAGGGCGGAATCCAACGACCCGGGCTCGAGCTGGGGCAATTAGGCTAAGCCATGGATGTCCGAGTGGGAGCACTGCGATAGGCTGATCCGGGGCAATGGATGTAATAGCTGTGCAAACTAGGTCGGGAAGTGCTGCAGAGTGGAGGGTAACTGCTTCATTGGCGGCGGTTTGCATGTAGCAGGGATGAGTCGGGTTGTCTGCACTTGCACGCTGGGGTCTAGCCGGGGAGACAGACTCCGGGAGGAATCGAGTTGGGATCGCTTGCAGAGCATTGTCATGTAGGCGGGTTAACCATTCAGGGACGCTCAAGGGAACTGAGGATGGCGCATGTTGCATGCCTCCATGCTCAAGCAAGAGTCGGCGGAACTGATGTAGAATGTGGCTCGCGATCACGCATCCAGCTGTGTTGACTTGGGCTAGTTGATCCAATGATTTCACTGGGTTGGGGGAAGGTGACAAGATGTTGGCAACTAGGACAGGCACTATACAGAAACGAGCCCAATGTTGAGAGGAATTATCTCCATGTCCGCACGCTACGCAGGGGGCGAGATTTCGTGCACGGTCACGCCATGAGGCAGGAATAGGAAACGATCCCCGAGTAGATTCCGCGATGGCATACCAGGGGGATGTGGCCGGTATCCCCCATCTCTCACTACTGTACAGAGTGGTAGCATTGATATCGTGATCATGGCAGCATCTCTCACAGGCTGGGGCAAAATTAAGTCCGAGTGGGTACAAACGGGTGGGAATTCCACAGAGCTGGCATGGCTGCTCAGCCTGAAGAGAGCCTGCAAGACGAAGCCGAAGGCATTCATCATCATCCTCATTCACTGCCCACCGCAAAACAGCAAAGTGTGCAACCCCATTAACAGCAAGTTTAGGCACTGTGGCTAAATGGGTTAAACAAGCCCACGATACTCCGCCTGGTAGGAGTTGTAAGCTTACTTTAGACTGCAGATATTGCAGCGCATGCACTTGGATGGCTTCGTAAAGACTGAGTTTAAGCTGGCGGAGGAATTGGAAGTGTTTTTTCCTGGTGTTTTGTCCTGCAGTTATACGTAACAAGTTGCCGACTGTGTCAAGTCCGAGCAGGGGGATCCATGTTCGGAAGATGCGTTGGACAACCGCTCCTTGCCTTGTCCCTACATCCGGGTACCCTGGTGAGAGAAAGGCGGTAGAGCCATTCTGTCTAAGCCAATAACCCAAACACGCTGCAGTGAGTGTGACCGCTGGGTCTAGCGCAGGAGCAATACCTAACCACCTAAATATGTGTGGGAGGTACCGTGCGGCCAGCCATGGCCTGCCGAGGAT